AGCCTTTTGCAGTGCCTTCATTGGCTGTCCATCCCTCTTGCTCTGAGGAAGAGCGGGGTTGATTAGCCATGACAAACAGTGTGTCAAGGCGCCCTCGTTCCCACTCCAACCTTACCATGTACTATGTTAATTACACCCATCTTGCTCTGACGGTTAAGTGCCTCCACAATTCCAGAGAGCCCGATCATCCCAATTGATAAGAGGGAGCCCTGCTTTTCTAATTAGTCAGATATGGGATTTCGCATAGGTTTTCAGTCAAGGCTTGAACTCAGAAGCATTTTCTGGTTTTTATTTAATTTCCTTATTCATTTGTTCTCCTTGGGAATGTCTGTGGTTTTATACATTAGAATTCCTAGATCTCTCCTCCTAATCCCTTTTTTCCATCATAATTATTTTTACGTTTTTGTTTTATATTTCTGTAGTTTTGCTTGATTTTTCTGACCATTAATTTGATGTTTCATGTGTGTGTTTTTGTTTTTGAGACACAGTCTCGCTGTGTCCCCCAGGCTGGAGTGCAGTGACAAGATGTCGGTTCACGGCAACCTCTGCCTCCTGGGTTCAAGCAATTCTCCTGCCTCAACCTCCTGAGTACCTGGGATTACAGACATGCACCAACACATCCAACTAATTTTTGTATTTTTTAGTAGAGACAGAGTTTCTCCATGTTGGCCAGGCTGGGTCTTGAACTTCTGGCCTCAAGTGATCTCCCAATTTGGTCTCCCAAAGTGCTGGAATTACAGGCATGAACCACCACGCTCAGCCTCATTAATCTGGTTCTCAAGAGTGATCATTCTTTTTTTTTGAGACACAGGCTTGCTCTTTCGCCAGGCACTAGGTTAGGGTGCAGTGGCGCGATCTCGGCTCACTGAAACTTGTCTCCTGGCTTCAAGCAATTCTCCTGCCTCAGCCTCCTGAGTAGCTGGGACTACAGGTGCACGCCACCACGTCCAGCTAATTGTTGTATTTTTCAGTAGAGATGGGGTTTCACTATGTTGGCCAGGATAGTCTCCCATCTCTTGACCTCGTGATCTGCCTGCCTCAGCCTCCCAAAGTGCTAGGATTACAGGCGTGAGCCACCGCAAATCATTCTTTTTTTCTACTTACTGCAATTTTAATTAGAAAATCATGTTTATTCATTCTAAGAAGTGTGTGTGTGTGTGTGTGTGTGTGTGTGTGTGTGTGTGTTGTTTGCTGAAGTTCTCTTCTGATTCTCTTAATTGGTCATTGGCCATGGTTGAGTTCTGCTCCAATATTCTCCTTCTTCCCAGTCTGTACAAATGAAGGCAGGACCAACAAAGGTGCAGCACTCAGGCACCGGAGAGCAGCTCATCCAGATGTCTGTGGCCTCTGCAATGCCAGTGTGGTCAAGGCAATCACTAAGCAGTCATACCAAAGACAGTCCCTCCTGCCATCGCTGTCTCATCATGCTGCTCTCTCCTGACACCAGGCATCAGGGTCTTCTCAGCAGGCTCATAAGCTCTGCTGCCAAGCTGCATAGCCTTAGTCTCCCAAGTCACAACTTCCTTGCAAAAAGCTCCTTCCCACTCCACATGACTGTTGACCCCCAGACTCTGGGCACTGAGGAGCCTCTGGGCAGTACACACGTCCCAACCCCTACAGATGTCCCTCTCCAGGAGCTGTGTTCTCCCTTCCATACCAAGGGCAGGGGTTTCTGGCTCATTCCATGGCTCTGTTCTGAAGGAGAGCATCCCCTTAATGGTGCCCTGTCTTAGCGGAGCCCTCCTGAAAAGCATCCATTCTGTATCTTTGTCTCAGTGCACTTTTCCTTGGGGGAGGCACAGTGACCAAGAATTTCAATTCATCTTCTCCAACTAGGAGAGAATCAAAACATCCCCACACATGGATCAGCATTCTTGGCATTTCCTGATTCTTCAACCCACATTTCTAGTATGCATTCAGTTCACTCAACAGTACTGATTAAACTTTCACCTGTCATGCCCGATAGTGAGAAGTCAGAAGAGACAGCACATCGTGTCTAAGAACATTAGTTTCAGGGATGAGGAGTTGACAGCAAATGAAATGAGAAAAAAAAAAAAAGAAGAAGCTATCACAGCAATCCAAGAAAGAGAACAAACCCTGAACGAAAGTACTAACAAAGGCGCAGAGATGGGAGGACCTCTGCGACCTATATGGAGGAGGCAGACCCTGCAGGACTGGGGACTAATGGAGTGTTATGGGAGAACAAGGAGGAGGAGTCCAGATGCACTCACTGCGTTCTCCTCGTGTGTCTGCAAGTCTACAAAACATGGAGCAGATTTCTGGAAGAAAATTTCTGTTTTGAATTTGTTGAATTTAAGGTACTTAGGGAACACCCAAATGAAGGAGACAGAACGTAGTAACTGTACCACGTATCTAAGGCCTGGGGTGAGTCATCCACATTTACATGGTAGTTATGCCGCAGGTGTGGACAAGGCCGCCACAGGATCCTGCAAAGCAAGAAAAGCAAGGCAAGCACAGCCCTGAGGAAGGGCGACATTGAGCAGCAGATAAAGAAACACATAAGGGAGAGTGAGCAGTAGAACCATGAGAGAAGAAATAACAGAAGCAGGGGAGAAGACTTAAAGAAGGATGGTTATCCATGCGGAGCCAGAATACAGCCACATACGTGGTGCACTGCACAGCACTGCAGATCATCATATGGATACTAATGGCATCCAGTGCACAACCTGCCTAACCAGGTGTGGCAGAGCTCACAGTATGGTTGAGATCAGAAATAAACGTGTCCACTGGCTTTGGCACTCTGTGAAGTCGGGTGACCTTGGCAAAGCAGTTGCGTTGGTGAGTGCAGGGGACAGTACTGTGGGAGAAGACGTAAATGAAATGGCCTTGAGTGGAGGCAGCGTGCACGGCCCACTCCCTGAAGCAGCTTGGTTGTGAGGGGGAGGGAGACGGCTGGGTGAGTGTTCAGGTCTGCCACGGCTCCTGCACTTTCTATTGGAATGCTCAGCTCTTCTAGCCTCAGATCAGAGCCTTTGCCTTTGCTCCCAGGACCCGGACTGCTCTTCCACCGAAACTCTCCAGGGCTGGCTTCTACCAATCACGCAGCTAACCTCATGAGAAAGGCCTTTCTTCCCCTACATGTGGCCCATGCCAACCCTCCCCTTCACTCTCTAATACACAGTGACATTTTTATTTCTTCAGAGCGCTTCAAATGAAATTGTCTTACTTAGTTGTGTATCGTCTCTTCTCCAACAAGTACGTCAGCCCCAAGAGCAGAGATCTCATCTGCCTTGTGAATCGTAGCCCTGGTGCCTGGCACATGGTAGGGGGTCAGCAAATGTTGGCTAATTTGGGTTCAAAAGATGTACCTGGAACAGGCCATGCAAGAAAAGCATCCTCTTGGACACATCATGCTACTAAAAGCAGGTAAGGCAGACAAACCTGGAGACTTGGCTTAAACCTGCTGTTAGCTTAATTCTTAAGTCCCTTACAGTCAGGCTTCGTCCTGTCCTGCACCTATGTAGTGTGGAAACTACTCCTCCACCTGCCCAGCCCACTCCCTGCCTGGGTCTTTGTACCACCACCCTGCAGAGCCCAGGACACCAGCGGCCCCATGACCACCAGGTGGCAACAGGTCCCACCACGGCCTCCTGCCGCCTCTTCTTCTCTAGAAGAGTACTACATACACACCAAGAAAATGTGAGAATTATAGAGAAGTATGACAAAGCAGGAACAGAAAAATCGCCCATAATCTTCCCACTTGTAGCATACTAGAATAGTTCCCTATTGTCTTTACAATGCATTTTTTTCTTAAGACAATCTGTAAATTGTCTTAAGAAATTAAGACACTAACCATTTTCCTCACTATATTGTTAGCATCTATTGTCAATGAAAATTATTCCATAAATGATTAAATATCAACAGCTATATTTCACTATCGGGATAATTTATACTTATCCAGTTGTCAGTTGTCTTTTAGATCTTTTGGGGGTGGGGGCAGCTTTTGAGCCCACTGCAATTTAAAAAAAATTACACTTTGGCCAGGTATGGTGCTCATCCCTGTGATCCCAGCACTTTGGGAGGCTGAGGCAGGAGGATTCCTTGAGGCCAGGAGTTCAAGACCAGCCTGGTCAACATAGTGAGATCTAGTCTCTATCCGAAAAACTTTTTAAATAAATTAAAAAATTAAAAGACTTTTTTTGGCCGGGCACAGTGGCTCACACCTGTAATCCCAGCACTTTGGGAGGCCGAGGCAGGTGGATCATCTGAGTTCAGCAGTTCAAGACCAGCCTGACAAACATCATGAAACCCTGTCTACTAAAAATACAAAATTAGCCAGGCGTGGTGGCACATGCCTGTAATCCCAGCTACTCAGGAGGCTGAGGCAGGAGAATCGCTTGAACCCAGGAGGTGGAGGTTGCAGTGGGCCGAGATTGCGCCATTGCACTCCAGCCTGGGCAACAAGAGCGAAACTCCATCTCAAGAAAAAAAAATTGATTTTTTTTCTCTTTCTAATCTAAAAATTGATCTTTTTTTCTTTCTAATTTTTTTTCTCTTTTCTCATCTAATAGATGTCTAATGTGGCCATAGATATCTATCTCCAAGTATAAATATTTGTGTATATTTTAAAATGTTTCCTCAGGACAAATACCCATCTTGATATGGCACTTGATACAGTTGCTGACAAAGGCAGGCAGAGCCAGATAAAAACCTTTAGAAACCCTAAGCATCAAAAAACTACCAAAATCCTTCCATGTAAGTCTTAATACAAATCAACCTAACAATTATATGGCACTGCACACTTTCCTTTGTAGTAGTAACAGGAGTAAAAATTCATGATTATCAGAAATCTGTTTCTCCTGCTAGCCCAGAAGCTCCCCAAGCACAGGGACCCTGTTCCCTGTGCTCTATCATTCGTAGAGGGACAAGCAGGTCACCAATGTACCAATGAGAATTTGAAAGACAAAAACTGTTGAATCAGAGTCCTCCCAACACCAGCGCACCTCCTGCCACCCCAACTTCACGACCAGCAGCAGCACTCATACCCGCATCAGTTCCATTTATTCTTTGTACAAATATTTTACAGTTTTATTTTTAAATCATTTACACATATTCATACAAAGAAAAATAAATTTCAGGATGCAATCTTGGGACCATGGTAGTTAAAAAAAAAAAAATCTCTCTGATCATTAGCTACTGCGGACAAGGCAAGAGGCTTAGCAGTCATTATGTCCCCATGCAGGGGACAAGTGAGAAGAATCCAAGCTGCTCCCTCATCTTCTTTCAATCTTCACCTTCTGGAGACAACATGGGGGAAAGGGATTTTCCAATGCTCTCCCCTAGAAACATTTCAAGAAGTACAGCAAAGGCTTATGGTAACACTGAACCTATTTGCTAGAAATCTGAAAGACTGTAATTTCTGAACCACCTTTCCAAAAGAGTTAACTCAATTCTCATTCACAGGTGCTTCTGAGAGGAGGAGGGTTTGCTGCACTCACCACACCCCCTTCCCACTTGCTCTGTCCTCCCAACGGTCCAGAACAGAGCCCTAGATCTCATCTGATCTAGCACCTCCACGCTCCCACCTAGCCTCCTTTCACAAGTGAACCTTCCTCCAACCCCACACACCCAGACACTCTGTAGCAGCTGGCCCTGGCAGCTTCTGAGGACCACTGTGATGATGACACAGGATTACTGCATCAGCGTCGTGCTCACGGGGAATCAGAGCTCAGCCAGAAGAGGTCCAAGAATAACAGAACTATGAGCACTCCTACCAAAACTCAGCTCTGCTCAGCCAAATCAACAATTCAACCAAACAGGGAACTCCTAGCACGTCCCAACCCAGGCCATCATCATTAGAGGTGCACAGCAAATGAACCTCCTACTTACACTGCCCAAGGAAGCTGGGCTATTATCAATTCCCAGTAAAAGGGAGGGAAAGGCGAGACATTACAAATGTGGTAGACCCTATCAGAAACGGCAGCTGATGACAACAGTGGCCCTAAATCGTTGGGTCCTACCCAAAAAGCAGCACCAAGAAAAGGCATGATGAGCAGAGAGATCTGTAGCTGGATGTACAGCCCTTGAATTACCAAGGGACTCAGAGATAACGCAGCTCATTTTCCCACAATTATGTAGGAACTAGAACACAGACTGCCCGCCCCTACGTTGAGGCAGTTCCTGAAAGGCCGTACCGCTTATGGTCATCAGCCCACCCCCTTGGTAGGCCCATTTGGGGAGAAGGAATCACATCCAGAGCGGGGACCCCTCCAGTGGACACTCACAGGGCAGCCCGTCCCACTGTCACTGGGGCAGGCCAAACATAGTTAGGAGGGTGGGCAGATCCCGGGCATCAGCTGCACCATAGGCATCGCTCTGGCCTAACATAGACAATGCCAAACGCAGGGTGCTCCAGATGTTCTCCGACATGGCTCCTCCTTCACCCCGAGGGCCCCGGCTTTTCCTCTGCATGTTCAGGGCCTCCAGAAAGTGCTCCACAGCCTCCCTGAAGGAAGAAGAGGAATGAGAGCTGGTACTGAACAACAATGGAAGGAAGCAGGTCAGCTAGCAGCGGGAGAGAGAGAAAGCTGGGCTGGCTAGCCAAACAGGATCTGAGAATGAGGAGCTAGGGCCACAGGCAAGGAGAAAAAGTTCATTCATTCATTGCTCAGTAGCTACTCTCACCGGTGAGCGCCAAGGTTGATGCAGCTGATGCCCAGGTTGTAGCGGGACCGGATATAGCCAGGCTGGAGCTCGAGGGCCCGGCGGTATGCAGCTACGGCTTCTTCACTCTGGTTTCCGTTGGCCAAGGTGGCTCCTAGCTTATTCCACAGCAAATAGTCCTGGGATGGGGATGCAGAAGGGATGGGAACAGCTCAACTCAGATCAAATTCTGCCCATTACTCCCACTGCTTCACTACTCTGTCTAGCTAACATGTTTCATCCCATTCCATTCTCAACAGTTCGCTGTGAGTTGCTACAATGTTAAACCCTCTCACCCTATGCTGACTCCCTTATATCCAGATGACCCTAGACTCCCACCCTTGTTTTCTCAATCCTCCCAAGGCAGTCAGTGCATGGAACACTGGAATGAAATACCCCATGACTCCAAAAGTCTGAACAAATTACTCTTTTTTGTGGCGGGAGGCAGGGTCTTGCTATGTTGCCCAGATTGGATTTGAACTCCCGGGCTCAAGTGACCCTCCTACTTCAGCGTCCCAAGTAGCTGGGACTACAGGCATGCACCATCACACACCCAGCTTCCCAATAAATGATTCTTCAATAAGGTACAGAACCATGTCCCATTTCCATTCCTCCCCTAGGCTCACATTGGGACGAACACTGAGGGCAGCGGTGAAGCAGTCCACGGCCTTGTCATACTCCCCACTCAGGTTGAAAAGGACTCCCAAGCCACACTGCACATCAGGGTCAATGGAGGTAGGGTCCAGCCGCACAGCTGCCAGGAAGAGCTCTTTCACTTCAAGAAACAGGGAGCTGGATGAAAAGGAAAAGAAACACAAAAAAAGTAGGTAGATGAATATCTGTACTTCCATTCCTCCAAAACTAATTCCTTCACTGGTCAATCATATCCACAAGATTCATCAATCTATCAGTCATCCCTTCTACTCTCAAAGTTCAATGTAAAACCCTGTTTTTCTGTTTCACCCTAGTACTGCACTGTAGAATGCAGATCTCCTTCAAACTGATCCTAGGTTTCCCAGCCCACTCTCAGGACCCTTTGGTCTCAATCTCTCCAAACTTCCAAAATCAAGGCCACCCTCCTACTGGGACTTAGGTTACTATAATTCCTCATCCTAGGGACCCCTCATACTCACTCAGACAACAGAGACCCCAGGATACGCTTGCTGGGGCCCAGTCCTGCCCCACCAGCCCCTTCTTCGGCAGGTGTCACCAGATGGGCATAGGCTGGTGTGTAGCGCAGCCAGTCGCGCAGGGTTTCACAGGCCTGTCGCTGCAGGGACTCATTGGTGAAGCTCACGGCCAGCGCCATCAGTGCTGTCTGGTTATCTGGCTTTAGCTCCAGACACCTGTTTGATCAGGGATGGGCAGACTTGGTAACTGCAATGACACTGGCACATGTGAGCAGCCTGAAATCTAAGTCAAGCTTTGAAACGCAGAGTCACAATGACCTCACCTGTGACTCCTCTGACACCTGAGTTAATAGTAAAGTTACAGATCTAGGAGAAAGGGGAAAGTTTTAGCAGCCAAGGAACCAACCAAAGCCCTACAAATAAAATCAAAAGCTGATGAAGGAATGGAACTCACTCCAACCCTCAGAGTTGCACCATGAGAAAACACTCCTGTTAGCACCCAGAAAAAAGACAAGGATCCAGGTCTGGGCTTCTGTCATTCAAAAGGTCATGTGCAGAGCCTTAGAAGCACCCCACCCACACCGTTCAGTATACTCACCTCCGCAATGCACTGATGGCTAACAGTTCTTGTTCATTCTCTGCCTGGGTGGTACCCAGGTACTGCCAAGCCTAGAGGAAAGTTGACAGATTCCATCACCCCATATTCACCTCTCCATTCTCCCTCCCCCTGGCGTCCCCCACTCACCATCTCGCTCTTAAGCCCCTATCCTAGGCCATCGCCCAGGCCCTAACCCATCTACACTACTCTCCTTGGGGCCTTCCTCAAAATGGAGGAAGCAGTCTCTAGTCGGAAATCAGAATATGGAGTCACTCACTTCCATGTGCTTAGGATCCTGCTGCACAGCTGCCTCAAAAAGCAGCACAGCATTTGGCAGGTCCCCCTCCTGAAGTCGCCGCAGCCCTTCTTCAAAAGGCTGAGGGTGATCACGCAAGGGGTTTTCCTCCTCAAACTGGTACCCCTACAAGAAAAGCATGTGAGACACCGACTGAGAGAGTCGGCACAGTCAGAGCAGCAGGCATGCGAGGATGATAACCAAGACAGAGAAGCTGAGGGCCTCCAAACAGGTTTCTGAATTCATTGCTGGCAAATTCTCCGTATTATAAAACGACAACAAGTAAAATCATTTGGCATCAGGCTCATGCTGCCATCTCCTGTTCACAGTACCCGGAAAGCTAGGCAAGTCTACAAACTCATCCACGCTGGAAATAAGCTTATTTTAGGAAGTCTTCACAGGCTTGTATTCCCACACCTTGACTTCTCACCACGGGACAGAACATGCTTCTCAACAGGATCTACTTATACTAATGAAATAAACTGTCCCTAGCTATTCAAAGTGCATTTCTTGTTATCCTTCAATAATGTGATAGTGTTTAAAGGAAATGTTAGAGTCCTGCCATTCAAACATAACTCTGATTTAGCTCACAGAGTCATTGCACACGTCAACTAGATAAAACATGCTCAAGCATTTTAGAAATGTTAACTTATTCCCCAACTTCAGTCTTAACAATTATGAATATTAATCTGTATCTGACAGTAAGTGAAAGCTAGATCCCAAAATCCAGATGGCAGAGAATACTTCAGAAAGACACCATTCTCTTCCAGCTGAGGATTTCTCACTTTAGAGAAGAGTTACGATACTATCTGCAAAGCTTTGTCAACTGGCATTTTACACTAGGCAGAGAAGAAATAAGGTAAAGGGGAAGTCACTAGGAAGCAGCACAATTTGGGACATGCAAACAAAAAGTCCCTTTTTGGAGAGTAAATACCAGGATGAAAACAAGATGCAAAATACCAGGCAGAGAGGTCTTTTTAAATGCAGTTAAGAATAAATTCAAATAAAACTACACAAAATAAAGGCATGAGGCCCCTTTTCATTATTATTGTGAAACTGATAAAGAATCAAAAACACTTAACTCTTACAAGCAAAGTTCTAAGTCATGATCAGATGTAAATTATTTGTCACAAATGAAAATTAAATAAGTACAACAGGAGTTTAACAAGAGAGATATATTACAGATTTGAGACGAATGTATAAAAAGTATACTTGTATTGAAAACAAGTCTGTTTTTGGACATCTCTGTACAATATAAAAACTCAGAAGGCAAAAAATGACTCTAGTCTAATGATCAGCAAATTTTTTCTATGAAGGACCAGATAATAAGTATTTCAGGCTTCGTGGATGTGCTGCAACCACTCAGCTCTACTGTTAGGGTGAAAAAGCAGCCAGACGTAAGTCAACAAATGAGCATGGTTGTCTTCCAATAAAATTTTATTTATAAACACTAAAATTTGAATTTTATATAATTTTCACTTGTCACAAAATATTACTCTTGATTTTCTCCAACCATTTAAAAATGTTAAAACCATTCTCAGCTAGTGGATCATTAAAAACAGAAAGATTTATTCCACAAGCCAGCTGACTCTTGCCCTAGACTATTAGAATTCAATAAAAAATTTTTCTACATTCAATCTCAACTATTGTTCATCATCAATACATGTTTTAAGCCACTCTACAGAAAAGAGATTACTGTCATCTATGATGCAATTTCCTAATAAGAGTAATTCTTGCCTCTCAGAGCTATTGAGAACATCAAATGGGAATATTCACCAATACCTTACCAAAAAGCTTAAAATATTATCTGTAAATAGCTATGGCCTGGTGCAGTGGCTCATACCTGTAACCCCAGCCCCCTTGGGAAGCCAAGGGGGACGGATCATCTGAGGTCAGTTCGAGATCAGCCTGACCAACATGGAAAAACCGCTTCTCTACTTAAAATACAAAATTAGCCAGGCGTGGTGGCACACGCCTATAATCCCAGTTACTCTGGAGGCTGAGACATGAGAATCGCATGAATCAAGGAGGCAGAGGTTGCAGTGAGCTGAGATCATGCCATTGCACTCCAGCCTGGGCAATAAGATTGAAACTCTGTCTCCAAAAAAAAAAAAAAAGCTATTATCCTCATTGCTCTGGATACTTCCTTAAGATATCATGGCCTATATATGACAGCCAGGAGTGATGTGAATGCTCTTCAGGTAGATAACAGAACAATTCAATGCCACCATCTAGCAACCACAGGATTCTCTAAGTTTCCTCTTATCCATGCTACCTATTCTCCTTGAGGTCTTATCAACTGCTGATCAAAGAGGAATTTTTCAAAGCTAGAATACTTGCACAGATGATGGAAAAAGAGTACTCTGGAGGATCCGTCAACAATCCACAGAACACAGGATAAGCCTGGCATCACTGTTGCATCCTGAAAAGCCAAACCCAAATCAAAAGCCAATCATTTTATCTGATACTTGGTCTGCTCCAAAATCTCATAGAATCAAATTGCGGAAATGATCACTACAAAGAATCTGTCCCATCACAGAAACTTCTGTTTTATCATAATAGCAGATTCATATCTACCTCAGCAGCAATGTAAATTGCCTCTGAAAATTTAAGGGCTATCAATAAATAAATCATACATTCAAAGAGACCCAGGAATTTATGTAACAATCAAGAGTCAAATCCAATTTGTTTTTAAAAAGTGCTATTGAAATGGAATTCAATATTAACTTAAAGCCAGATACTGTCTGAATTGCTTACTACATCTTTTTTTGAAAAACATTAATGCAAGTATTTCTAATCCTAATTTTCCAATATCCCAAAGTATCAATGGTATCAAGTAGGGCTCAAGAATCTACAAACATACTTTTAAAGTTTTTAATTAAAAATCATATTCTGGCCAGCATGTCATAAATATGAGAGTAATCAACGAAAGAAAATGCTGCTCATACAAAACTACTATTAAGTCTACATGTATCAAAAGCATGGACATTTTTACCTAAAATGTATAACTTTCCATTTAAAAGCTGATGGGGCCTACGTGACTTATCGAATTGTTAATAGAAAATAATAAAAGTATTATCTATGATATTTCCTTCAGTTCTTCCTTATCAAAATTAAATAAATGAACTGATATTCTAGTGAAATGTATGGCAAGGTCCCATCTGTCTTTTCCCTTGCATCACACAGGATAGTTAGAAAAATCCAGATCAGACTGGAATAATAAGCAAAATCATATTTCTCCTAATACAGTTCTTCACTGGCTCTCAAACCCTAGCCTTTATCTAAACTGCATTCTCCAGTCTTTGCACAGCTCCCTTATTACATCAAGATCCATCTCCAGCACCCTGCTTTGCATCTCAGGCCCTGGTTCCAGCCCCAGAATCCTTTCCCAACCAGATCTGAGCTGAGAAAAAGACATCACTACTCACCTCCCCAGTTTGTTTTGCCTTTTTTCAAAACCAAGTAATTCTTTCCCCTCTTCATGCTTCAACTCAGGAGCTCAATTATTAAACGCATCCCCAAATACCGTACAGCCCACAAGCAGATTTGTTTTTTAGTGAGACCCCAGAAGTAATATATGTTTCTAAGTCAAAAGCACATGCTATATGCAAAATACAATCATCTTCCATACTGACTACTGGGAAATTTTCCAAATATTTTAAGTTATTTATTATAAATTCTTTGAAAACCCTAACTTAGGGCAAGTGGCTAATACCCATAAGAGATCAGAACGTTAAATGAATATATGAGTTGAAAAAGTAAACAGATATTAAGATGTAGAGGCAGAGGGATAGCCTATTCACTAACATTCCCTACAAAGGAGTAAGCAGTCTTCTCAAAAAGTTCCCAATCCAACCTCCAAGCAGAGCTACTTCCTCTGTGCTCTCAATGTACCATGTGCAAACCTCCTTTACAGGTTATGTCACTGGATTGTCATTATTTGACAAGAGTGTCTCATTAACATCTATATCCCAAGAATAAAGTATACGCTCAATCACTGAAGGAGAACAAGAGCAAGGCAATGTTTCAGACTTCTTTTCATGGAAAGGGACTCAAGAAAATACTTAAAAGCACCCTTCAAATTCAGGATTAAAGGAAAAACATTAAAAAGAAGGAAGTTCTGGAACCTGAAAGGTAAGAACTAAGAGTTTTTGCCTTACCTTATCATAGGTAGCTGACGTAAGGTCATCATAGTCAGAAAGCCAGGGGTGAGCCTCAGCATCCCGTTTTGCCATCTCCTCCAACTCTGCCTGCAACTTGTCCCAGAAATCGACATCAGACTGTAAGAAAGGGAAGGCAGATAGAAAAAGGAGATCCATTATGACCACCCCGCCCCACTCTCAGTCCTGCTGGGACTGATTCCCTAAGGCAGCAGTTCTTGAATTTCAACATATTTAAGAATCATCTGAAGAACTTTTCAAAAATGCAGATGCCGGATGGGCGCGGTGGCTCACGCCTGTAATCCCAGTACTTTGGAAGGCCAAGGTAGGTGGATCACCTGAGGTCGGGAATTCGAGACCAGCCTGACCAACACAGAGAAACTCTGTCTCTACTAAAAATACAAAAAATTAGCTGGATATGGTGGTGCATGCCTGTAATCCCAGCTATTCAGGAGGCTGAGGCAGGGAATCACTTGAACCTGGGAGGCGGAGGCTGCAGTGAGCTGAGGTCACACCATTGCACTCCAGCCTTGACAACAAGAGTGAAACTCCATCTCAAAAAAAAAAAAGCAGATGCCCAGATCCTATCCCCAGATACTGATTTAGTAGTCTGGGGTGATGCCCAGAACAGTTTCACTCTTGTTGCCCAGGCTACAGTGCAATGGCACGATCTCAGCTCACTGCAACCTCCACCTCCCAGGTTCAAGCGATGCTCCTGCCTCAGCCTCCTGACTAGCTGGGATTACAGGCATGCGCCACCACACCCAGCTAATTTTGTATTTTTAATAGAGACATGGGGTTTCTCCACGTTGTTCAGGCTGGTCTTGAACTCCTGACCTCAGGGGATCCACCCGCCTTGGGTTCCCAAAATGCTAGGATTACAGGCATGAGCCACCGATACACCTGGCCCAGAAATCTGCATTTTTGAACAGCACCTACCCCATCCCCAAGCATCTCTGACACAGATGATACAGGTCCACTGTGAAATACAATTTGCATCATTTTGGATGTTCATACATCCACTCACTCCAAGGAGTGTTTTCTTTTGGGGTGTCTGCTCCAGCACTATCTGCTCTCACCTCTATAGCTGACTTGGCTCGCTCAAACTCCATATCAAGGGCAGATGTGTTTACTGGTCTTGTGAACTGGTCAACCCAGGCATCTGATGTACCCTGTGACAAAGAAAGATGATCAGTACCACCACCACCAACCTTCTACCCATCAGACGAACAATAAATACCCGCTAAACACCACCAACCTGGGCACTTCTGAGAAAAACATTCTCAGAATCTCTTTCCCACCCACTTGGAACCTAGATGCTATCAAGACAAGCTAGCCTTAAAATCCCTTCCCCATCTGGGACCACTGACCACTAAACCCATGGCCTGGAGCATCATCTGGCTCTGAAGTGCGACTGCAAAGTGACAATGTCCTACCTGCTGCTGTATAAACTCTGCTGCCCACTGTTCTGCCTGAGCTCGGCCCGACCCTGCACCGGACTCCAGGGACACCTGCCCTTCGCCAATCTGCCGCACGAATTTCAGGAACTGGGGCACAGAGACACACATAGGCCACTTGGGAAAGGACTTCCAGGTGTGCACTCTCAACCATGCCCAAGAGGGCCTTGTACTCACCCCTCCCCTGACCATCTCTAGCTGCAGATAAGATATGCTAAAGACCCTAAAAGAAGTAGCAAGCAAAAAGAAAGGGATTTCTAGCTCTAAAGACTTGAAAAGGCATCAGTAAAAAGAGTAGGCAAGGAGATGAGGAAATGAATACTAGAAGGAAGAGGCAGGATCTAAGTCTCTGTTCTATAGACAGGAAAGAATAGACCTCGGATCTCTTCTCCTTCTCTAAACTAAACTGGGGTAAAAGAAGCAAGATTCTTGCCTTCTAAGACGAGCTCTGCTGGGCAAAGCAGCAGAGGGATGTGGCTCACCTCAGAGTTAGCCAATTTGGGGTCATCCACTTTGGCCACAAAGTCACTGGCCATGTGCTGCAGATCCTCCTCAGGCTGATATTCATCACACCTGGAACCGGTAAGAACTAATTTTATACATTAGTCTGCCACCACCTTCCCCATGCTACTCCCCACTCGCAGCCCATGACAATGACAGTTCCTACAGGGGAACTCCATTCTCTTGCTGAGAACCTACAAACTTCAATTTGCATTAAAGAAGGACATTTGGGCAGGAGTGTGAAAGTACATGCTTTTACCTCTCCCTTTCCCAAACATATCTTTGCATACAGATGGGATGGTAGCAGCCTCAAAATTAAGAAGGGAACAAGGTAAAATTATGAACTTTAAGATGAAGTTATGAACTTCATATAGGATACTTAGGATTCTTGATATATATATATTTATTTACATACATATGTATATTTTAAAACAACCTTAAAAATCGCCCCTCCTATATACAGCTGATATGTATATATATGCATATATGCATGTATATATACATGTATGTCTATGTGTATACGTATACGTGTATATGTCTATATATACATGCACGTGTGTGTGTGTGTGCACATGCGTGTGCTTTTGTTTTTTTAAAGACAAAGTTTCCCTACATTGCTTGGGCTACACTTGACCTCCTGGGCCCAGGCAATCCTCCCACCTCAGGCACACAACCACCATGCCCTTGACTACATTTCAACCAGAAATCCACAGGAGTAATAATCCAAGGGGAAATCTTAAAGAATAAAGTAAGTTGGTTTGAGAACATGGAGGGAGGAGGTTAGAGGAGGCTGGGAAAACTGTCTATACTTCTTTCAGAGGATTCAGAAAGAGGCAGCTGGACTCACCAGCGAGCAGAGGCTGTTCCCTCAGGCTCTCCCAGCCACAGCTTCTCCTCTGATTGCTCCAAGTATTCCTCAGCCCAGCGAGCGGGGGACACAGACAAGGGGTCTGCAAGGAGCAGAGAGGTGGGGAAATCACATGGCTTCATTCAGTGTGGGATCAGGGAAACGGAAAGATACTCACACTCAACTGACCCTCTTAGCTACCCTCTTTCCCTCACAACCCCCGGTCACAAGAAAACACTATTAAATTTTCAACAGCCTAAATATCCAACCCATTCTCAAAGAGCATGGGGGAGAAATTTACTGAGAGTTGGGAACAGGAGACCAAATAAGGAGACTCAGGAAAGGATTAAGAACCAAACTCTTTTTCTTGAAGTATAAGATATTTCAATAAGAAACTGTAAGCAGAAGGGCTTTCACTTTCCTCAAAAGTACAGCAGGGAGCCAGTAAGGAGTGAAGGGAACACAGAAGAGCTCCTGTTCTCTAACCAAGCCTCTAATCTGTTCTCTCTCTACCCAGAGTTCACACAATCCCTGCCAAAGGAGCCAGATTTCATTGTAATTTGCCTACCAAGAGAATCAGAGAAGTGAAATGCTACACTAGAATTAAAGATACATGGGTCTGCTCTTCCCTATGGATGTTTGGTGGGTTTTTTCATTTTTTTAATCGAAATGTAATATGTAAATATGAAACCATATAATGTCTTCGAAACTTAAGTGTACAGCTCAATTAACTTCAACATATGAATACACTCACATAACCCCCACCCGGATCAAGATACAGAATGTTTACAGTTCCCTCACAGGCTCCCTCAGCCACCCAACCCCTACAAGTAAACACTATTTGGACTTTTCTCACTTTTGATTATCTTTGAGTAGCTATGTTTTTTTAGTCTAATTCTAGAAACTGTCTCAGAGGCTCTAGTGACAAAGGGCACTGCTGCAACATCAGAATGAACCTATGAAGGCAACAAACTCAATGAGGGTGTTGAACTGTTTTTCAGCCTCCAGGACTTTGCCCTGACTATCCTGAAGCCAGAAAAAAAGCAAGAAGACTGATTGTGGGTCCTAAAGAGCAAGGAAACAAAGACAAGGCATAAGCCGCAGTGCTGTTTCCTTCTGCCCTGTGTCGAGAACTAATTTTACTCCTTAGTCTGCCACCACCCTCCCCATGCTATTCCCCACTCCTGGCTGTGACAATGACCGTTCCCAAGGGGGAACTCCACTTTCTTGTTGAGAACCTACAAACTCCAAAATGCATTAAAGAAGGACACTTGGGCAGGAGAGTGAAAGTACTAGCTGATACTAGTAGTCTTTGTCCCTGATTTCAAGATCTGACTGCCCTTGCTTCTAAGAGTGAGAAAGTAGACTTACCCCTTCAGTATTAAAGTACAAAACCTTCTACTCCATTTTAACTGAGACTTTGCCTGAATAATGTCAACAAAGTGGTCTCAAAATCTGAGCAGGAAACATCAAAATGTGAAAAACAAAGGATTAAGACTCTCAGAATATACCTAATTATAAATAATAATTACAAATTACTTATTACATTATATATAATACATAATGTAATAAGAAATATTTTTTGACCATGGACTCATCTCTTAATTTCAAAGATTCTCAAAAATTATAAGCAGATTCTGCTCATTAGCTCTTACAGGAAGCATTTCTCTTCCATTTGCCCCAACTAGATTGCTGGCTCAAGTGTGGAGACAGAAAGGAGATGCCTAATACACAAACAGACTTTAAGGCCTCCCAGTTCCTTACTTCCATTCTGTTGAAAAGTAACTACTCCCTCCTCAACTCTCCAACCACTCCTAACTCTCAACTAGAATGTTTTGCAAAAGCATATTCTGGCCGTAAGTGCTCCTCAAATTCACAGAAATGTTTCAAATTTCTATGAAATGGTCCCCTCAAGGACAAAATAAAACAGAAAAAATACAAAGCATCTCTGTACTTGTACAACAGATATGAGGACTTAACAATAGATATGAGGCAAATGAGAAAAAAAAAAAAATCACAGAGATGAGAAAAGCCTTCCTCAAAGACCTATAATTTGGTATTTGGCCATAAAAGCCACAAGACCCAGAATTTTTTGGCATTGGGAACCTGCTCCAACAAGAGTCAAATAACCAAAAGAATCAAAAGAGTAACACATTGCCTTCACAATCTTTTTTGAGAAATTCCTATAGAAAATCAGATCCATGTGGATACATCTGAAATCAAAGCAACTAAGGCCTAAAGAGGCGATGTTACTGCCGGAGGTCATAGCTTGGTAGAGTTAGAACACCCCAGACACCAAATATCCCACTCAAAATGTGCGCCTCATTTAATTTCTTGTTGTTTACTCATTCCTTCTAGGCACATCTTCCCCAAGCTCAAAAGTCAAAAACTCAGAACTTGCTACCCTTACTGATGAAAGTTTCTGTGTCCGCTAAATAGCAGCAGTGTGGAGAAGAATATAGGTTCTAAGGTCAGCCTACCCACATTTAAATCCCAACTCCATCACTTATTCACTGTGCATCTTCAGATAACTGAACTTTCTTAAGTTTCCATGTCCTTATCTTTAAAGCAGAGATAAACAGGCTACCTCATAGGGGTTGCTGTGAAGACCAAAGCGCATAGTAACAAATGGTAGCTATTATCATTAGTTCGCTCATGGCAAACCCATAATGAAAGCAGAAAACATCACAATGAGATTGTTATTCCAAAGCCTCTCCTCTACCAACCAGAAAAAATCTGTTGCCAATCATCTTCTGCACTGCGGTCCATGGCCTTTCCCATGAAAAGTGCAGATTTATCTCTCACGATTATCATATGAACCTCACATACCATGTCAACTGAGGCTATCTAAATTCAAGAACCCTGAAAGATGTGTCCTTGATTTTGATCTGTGCAGAGCTGTTATGTAAAATGTTACCACTGGAGGAGACTGGGTTAAGGGTACACAGAACCTTCCTACATGCTTTTTTTTTTTTGCAACTTCCAAGGAAACTACTTCCAAATAAAAAATTTAAATTTAAATAACTGAGCTGCAAATTTCCTTTCAAACTTGATTTTGACTCTTAACATTGGAGATTTTAAAATAAGAATTTAAAGAATATAACCTTCTTTTATCTCAAAATCTGCTTAGTTAAAGCCATAGTTAACCTACACAATTGATATATCAGCCACAAATCCTATAATTTAAAATGACAGATAATTTTAAAAGTCAGTTACTACAAAATCAACTCCTTTCCTTAAGTTTTTTCTCCCAGATCTCAATTCATTCATCCAATACCAGAGGCCTACTACATGCAAAGCAATATACTACTACAATAAGACATTTTTATGAAGGCAGACTCCAAACAGCCCAACTCCCCTTCTCAGGTTTGCATGTCTCTGTCTCTGTGAAAGGCACAATTCTAAAAGACTGTACAAAATAGAAGTGCTCTACTACAAGCATTTAACTGGTGAGACAGGTCCAACATGTTCTTCTAAAACATGTTCATTTACAAGTTAAGGAAGATTTCACTGGTTGCACGCAATTCAGGGAATTATAACAAAACTTTCACCCATCTCAATGCTCATAATAGCAATTTTTTTTGAGTTATCAAAAATGACTAATGCCCACATTACAACAGAAGCCTCTCTGTGATAAGAGATAGAACTTAAGTCTAAGGTTTATGTGAAAAACTGAGTTTCTGTCTAGGAAAGGGTCTTTGCTATGCTTCAGATTTTAACTTGAGGGAATTCCACAAAGAATCTCAATTTGAGGGTGGGTGCAGTGGCTCACACTTGTAATCCCAGCACACTTTAGGAGGCTGAGATGGGTGGATTACTTAAGGTCAGCAGTTCAAGACCAGCCTGGCCAACATGGTGAAACCCTGTCTCTACTAAAAATACCAAAATTAGCCAGGCATGGTGGCACATGTCTGTAGTTACAGCTACTTGGGAGGCTGAGACAGGAGAATCCCTTGAACCGAGGAGGCATAGGTTGCAGTGAGTAGACACGGGCACCACTGCATTCCAGCCTGGGCGATAGAGCAAGAGCCTGCCTCAAAAAAAAAAAAAAAAAAAAAAAAAAATCTCAGGAGCCACACAGACATGAGTTTGAATATCATCCCTGTTATTCAATTATTTTGCACAAAGTATTTAACTTTTCCAAACCTCAGTCTCCTCACCTATGAAATGAGGGAGAATATCCACCTTGTAAGTGTTACCGTGAAGTTCTAATGAGCTGAAGAAGATAAAGTGCTTAGCACTATTAACAAAGCCAAGAGCACCTACTGTTCCACCTTAACTCCAACTTAGAGGTTGGAAGAGACATGTGATAAAAGCAAACCACGACTCTTACTAAAGGTGAGTTTTGTTTTTAGATTTGGAGTTTTTCTCTTGTGTGTGAAGAAGTCCATCCTAAACATGGGCCTCCTTTACACACATTTGTCCCTGATCAGATAGGCTTACGGTAAGATGAATCAATCCTAAAGGATGCAAGGAGCAATGGATGCTCTCAAGAAAAATTAAGCTGAGACCTTGAAGTCTGCAGCAAAGCAAGAAAGGGCATAAATTAAAATGGTGCAGGTAGATACCAATTCACTCACTTTAATCATCTTAGAAAAATTTAGAACCATGATGACGTGACTCCCTGAGATCCTGGAACTTTGTAACTTTCTTCATGTATATCTCTTGTTATTCTTGATTTCTTAAACTGGAAAAAGGCTAACTGTTGAGAGCAATCAGGAAGAGGAAAGCTGAAGAGACTGCCTTTCCCCCATGTCACTGATTAGATAGGCTCAGGGCAAGAAGAATCAATCATAAAAGATGCAGGGAACAATGCATGCTTTCAAAGAGGAAAAATTAGGCTGAGACCTTGAAGTCTGTAGCAAAGCAAGAAAGAGCATAAATTGCAGGCCTGGCAGTGGGCATCCCAGTTAAGGCCACAGGGTCAGGAATCATCCGAATCCAGGGTCAAACCCCAACTCTACCACTGACAAAGTTGTGTAACCTTGGGCAAGTTACTTACCTCTAAGCCTCAATTGTCTTATCTTTAAACTAGTTCTAAAAACAGTAACTACTTCTAGGGTTCTCATGGAGATTAAGTAGATAATACATTCAAAGCGTGTAACACAAGGCCTAGAACATGACTAACATTATTAATTTTTATTATCATCATCATGGTATGGTCTTTACTTTCTAAAACCATATACTTCAGGCACTTGAACTTCACAGTAACACTGTCCAAGGCCCCAGTGCTGTTCAAAATGACTTAATGCCAGAATCCCAGGTGCTGTAGTGAATATTCTCTTCCTCGGCAACACTGTCATCCAACCAATCTGTAGATCCTCTCCACCAGACCACTGGTAAAGTTCCAGGTAACAAAAAGACCAACCTAACTCTTTTGTTTTCTCTATCCAAAATCTCCCATGCAGTTCAAAGCCAGTGCTCTATTTAATACAAGTTTCATTCCCTGTTATCACCTAAGAGAAACTGAGTAGATTACCCTAAACCTCTAGAAATTAGTCATGAGGCCAGAAAAGTCATAATCACACTATACCCTGAACAGGGGAAGGATAAAGAATTCTGCCCCATAGAAACCAATATAGATTTTCCCATAACAAGCTTCACCTGTAACTTCGGAGATGAATTCTTGGGACCAGTCAGTCTCATTATAATCCTGAGTTACATCCACAGCATCTCCAGCTGCAAGAAACTCCTGGGCCCAGTTCTCAGACAAGGCCAAGTCTGCCACACCAGGAGCTTAAAAGAGAGAGAAAAAAAACTAAGAAAGAAGAAATACATACCATTCCATCATGCCGAAAGATCCCTGAGTACATGTGAAAACATTCTGTTCCTTTTGTTTCCTTCTGCATGTCAGTTCCCCAATGCTAGCAGCATCCAATGGGACCCCCTTTCTTGGCCCTGGCTACGTAGAAATTGATCTCCCCTCCCACTACACTCTGGACTCACCTCTCTGGGGAGCCTGACGGAAGTTTGACTGTTCAATCTGCTGCATCTCAGCCAGGAGGTCATCCATCTTGAAGGTCTGAGGGGCACGGGGCACAAGGGGTGCATTCTGGTCCTGCAGGAATTCAGCCACCAACTGCCAAAGGAAAAATGGTGAAAGGAACCCATGGGGTTGGGGGGCCCCAGCAAGAGACAGGGCCCACTGGAGGGGGATCCCAATGTCAAATACAAGGAAAGGAAAACAAAGAAACTGGAGACACATAAAGAGAAATCGTCTTCCCATAGATTTTGAAGCACAAAAAAAATACATTTAAAAACAAGCAGGCAATCTCATTTGGTCAGGAAAGCCCAAAAATTGAAATGGGGTAAACTAAGTTTAAAGGTAAAAACACAATGGGCAAGAGAAAAATGGGACTGGAAAGAGATTGGTCTATTTACCTCATCTTCAGAAGCTACTCCCAAAGGCTTGGAGACCTAAGAGAAAAACAAAGAGAAGCAAAATGGTGCAGTTCCTCTAAAATGAGGGGTTGATGAAGACCACAGACATCTGAGCCTCAGTTTCTTCATCTATAAAATACTTGCCTTTATTCAAAGATGCACAGGGTTTTCTAGTGTTTAGTAAACGCTCATTAAGTGGCAACTACTATGATTTGCAACACAATAGAGAGAGCAGTAATACCAAGATGTACAAACAGCCCCGCCACCTCAGACCACCACCTGGGCTCTCCACCTCAAGAACACTCACTGCCTCCGAGGCTGGGGCTCCGGGGGGCCAGGGGCCAGGCCTCAATCCCTCCTGCCGAAGGGCCTTGTCTTGGGTGAAGTGCCCGGCCAGCTTCATGAGCGGGTTCGCACCCCCGCATTCGGCCTCCACCAGCTCCCGCATTGCCATGGTGACCGCCAGCTCTCTGATGGACACAGGATATTTGGAACTGAGGTACCAAAGCCAAACCCTTCCCGGACCCACAACTCTGCTCGTATCTGAGGAGGGCACACAGACGTCTGCCCCACACGGGCCAGCTTGCCGGCCGCGGGCCACCCTCCATCCCTGTGCCTTTTGCTGGGACCCCCGCCTCTGCTAGGACTTCGAGGGAGGTCGGTACTCTCTCCGGCCGCCCCCCTCAGAGACCACCGCTTCCAGCCCGCGCCTCTGCAGCGGCCTCAACGACGACGGTCTCAGGGGCTGGGGACCACTAGCTGCCCCCCACAAAGGGACCTGGACCCAGGGGGACTACGGGGACGCTTCAACAACCGGGCTGGATGGGGACACTGGCCCGGCAAGGGAGAGTGGGAAAACAGCCCGACCATGCTTAGGACCCCGCAGCCCCAGCACGCGGGGTGCACGGCGGGAGGGCATTCCGTCCCCCTAAGTCACCAGAGCCCTTCCCCGGCTCGGCCCGGACTCTCCCGCGCTCCCCACTGCCCGTCTCCCGCGCCCGGCTGCCGCTCCGGCTCCGCCCCTGGGACCCGCGAGGCCACGGCCAGGGTGGGGGAGGCCCCGGGACGCGGCTCCTTGGCCCCTTGGGGGTCCTGCGCTCACCGCCCCGCGCCGCGCCGCGCCGCGCCGCACGACCCGCCGGGACACCAGGTGCGGGCTTGGGGGAGGGGAGAAGAAGGGGGCGAGGAGCCAGGAGGCGGGGCTCAGGCTTAAAGGGGCAGCGACTGCCCCGCAGCGGCCGAGGCCCTGCGGAAGCTGTCTGAAGGGGCGGGGCCTTAAGACTGCGTCGCAGCCTGACCGGAAGAGCCCGGAGTCTTAAAGGGGAAGAACACGTCAGAGAGCAGGTCTTGGAGAGTCGCCTCTTGGAGCGCTCAAAAGACTGCAGGCCCTAGGATTTGCTTGACGGAAAGCTCAAAGAAGAATGGAGCTAAAAAGGGCTTCCCGGGCTGTCGGGGAAGGTCGAAGACGCGAGATCCTAGGCTCAGTAGATGCTGCCTCTTCCCTTGGGCGCATTGTGACCCAAGGGGATTCACTGACCTTTCTGAGCCTCAGTTTTCACCTCTAAAATGGGGCCGGCTACTGTTCCCAAGCCCAAGACAAAGAAAGGCCCTAACATGAGGAGCTGGGGAGTCCAATCCGAGGCCTTCTTCAGCCTCCGAGGCCTGCCCCCCTTCCAAATAACCCCTAGCGGGGCAGCGTCACTGTCTCCATGGAGACAGGGGCCCGCCCCCGCCCCAATCCCTCTCCACCTCTGCATAATGGGGAAAATAGCACTGGATGATGACAAATTCCGGATACCAAAATAGGGTCCAACGCATCCTGAGACCTCGAGCTGGTAACGTACAGGGAAGGTGTACAGTGAGTCACTTCTCTCCCCTCCTTCCGTGCACTAAGTCAGCATAGTGGCCTTATTCCCACCTCTCCAGGCTGAGAAAGCACAAACATACAAGAAATGCTTTTAATCACGAGTAGGACTAAGCCTTAGCACCCCGCACCCCACATCTGCCAGAGGATGTGCTCTGCTGTCAAACCTCAAAGTCATTGGGAAACAAATCCTGCTAATCTCACCTGGCTTCAAGACCAAGGAGTCCTAGCGTCATGGAGAAGGGCAAGAGGGGCCCCGGGCTGCCGGTAGATGAGCAAGGGTAGCAGTGCCAGAGAACTGAAGTACCATCCCAGCCCAGGGCGCACGAGCGGAGGCAGGCAGGCAGCAGGTGGCGCCACGGGCCAGGCTTGTCTCCTGGCTGTTCTGCAGATTTCAAAGGTGGAGGCCTGGGGGGGGCACAGGGAATGTCTGTGTAAAGTCATCCCTGGGAAGACAGAGAAATTGCTCTGACACCGCAAGGGGACAGAATGGCAGGGGAGACCATAAGACTGCAACATTTCTCCTTTTCCTTGCCTTTTCGCCGTCTGTCGGAGGCCCGGAACCCACGCCCCCTTTTCTTCTGGAGCTCACAAATCTCAGCTTTTGGGTGTCCGCTGTTCCCAGGCTGCCATCGTGAGGAAAATACCTAATACCTGATAAATTAAACCCACCAAGGATGAAGAGATGCCCTCCAGAAGTGGCATACTTTTAAAAAGAGTACCCCTAGAGAGACCAGTGTCTAGAGGAACCCATCTGATACAGAAGAATTTCAGAACACCAAGGCAAACAGTTTCCCAGTACCACTTAAACAACAGGACACACATAACCTTCTGTTCTGCTAGGAGTTTATAGACTGATTAGCAGTAACTCACTTTGTGTGCAGATCTTGGGAGAATGGTAATAATAATAACTGATGTTTATTGAATGCTTACTAAAATCCAGGTATTAGGTAAAACACTTCATGTATCTCAGTGCTTTTAATCTTCTTAATAGCCCTATTAAATATATATTGCTAGCCCCACTTTACAGATAAGACTTGTGCAAAATCAGACAGCTAGGAAGTCAAAATTTAATCCAGGTATAAGTCCAGGCACCTACGTCCCAGTCTTAGAGAAGGCTTGCTGATAAACCCTGAAGATCCTTGCTCTCCTAGGACACAGAATCATTCACAGAACCTGGTCCACAGTCCCAGAGGTGCTGGGAAAGGGCTAATAGAATGACTTTGGGCTTTAATATTTAATTTACTGAAGCTCTAGATTTGAAGCCCTAGATTTTGTTAACCCAGGTTCAACTTTAAATTCTTATTCATAAAAGTAATTTTTATAAAATAAAAATTTTTACGTATTCTTTAATTAATGTTTGGCTAACTCAAGTTCAACAGGTTAAATTCTTCCAATGTTTAGACACACATTGCATTGACTGTGTGCCGGGCATTGCTCCAAGCACTTGTCAACTGATGATTTATTTATTCCTCCTAATAGCTGTTAATAATAAATATTATCCCCCATTTTACAAATGAGGAAACTGAAGCACAAAGAAGCTGAGTGACTTGCACAAGGTCATACTAATGAATAGCAAAGCTGGGATTTGAACCCAGACCAGGATCATCAAAATTTGCAAAGGGCTAAATCAGTATTTTTGGCTTTGTGGTCCATACACTCTCTGTCACAGCTACTCAACCCCGCTGTTGAAGCATGAAAGCAGCCATAGGCCACACCTAAACAAATGAGCATGGCTACATTCTAGTAATGCTTTTTATGGGCACTGAAATGTGAATTTTATATAATATTCACATCACAAAATATTATTATTCTTTTGATGTTTTTCAACCATTTAGAAATGTCAGATACTTCTTTTTGAGACAGAGTATGGCTCTGTCACCCAAGCCAGAGTACAGTGGCACAGTCTCTGCTCACTGCAATCTCCACCTCCCAGGTTCAAGTGCTTCTCCTGCCTCAGCCTTCTGAGTAGCTGGGACTACAGGCGCATGCCACCACACCCAGCTAATTTTTGTATTTTTACAAAATAGAAAAGTAGAGACGAGGTTTCACTGTGTTGGTCAGGCTGGTCTCAAACACCTGACTTCAGGTGATCCACCCACCTTGGCCTCCCAAAGTACTGGGATTACAGGCATGAGCCACCACAGCTGACCAAAAAAATGTCAAATACTTCTTAGCTTGCAGACTGTGCAAAAACAGGGACAAGGCCATAGTTTTTGGACCTTTGACCTACACAGTCTTGTTCCAGAGTCCACACTCTTATACACTGTGCTATATTATACTTTTGTTTTTTAGAAATAAAAGTTAAATTTCCTAATATTTTTAACTATGTGACATTTAATATTCATATTTTAAATACCTGACAGGGCAAACAACCCTACTAGGCAAAACCTTTCTAAAGTTTTATTCAACCCTGTAAATCTAATATATCAAAGTTATAAACATTCATTCAATTTTCTTAATCCTCTTAAAGTCATAAGTCTAAAACTTTACTTTCCAAATCAAAGGCTAATCCATCAGAGTCTCTAAAACATCAAACATTTTAACTTATGTCATTTATACATCTCTAGAAGGCAAATTTACTGACTCAGGTAAGTCAAGTTTACTGGGCTAAATTTAGAACTACAGTGCAGATACTTAAAAGTCAGATTTGAAACCAAGACTCAAGACAGACATATTCCCAAGACAAGGCTGAGTCACAAATGAGTACTCTCAGCCCTGTTGTAGAGCTGAGCTCTGCCTGCTGTGTCATTGTTCCCGAAGGCCATTTCCTCCACTTGGTAATGATATCCAAGTCATGACTTACAACTTTTTTTTTTTTTAAGACAGAGCCTCATCCTGTCTGCCAGGCTGGAGTGCAGTGGCAGGATCTCAGCTCACTCTAAACTCCGCCACCTGGGTTTAAGCAGTTCTAGTGCCTCAGCCTCCCAAGTAGCTGGGATTACAGGCATGCACATCACATCTGGTTAATTTTTTTTTTTTTTTTTTTTTTTTTTTTTGTGTAGGGAACGGGGTTTCACCATGTTGGCCAAGCTGGTCTTGAACTCTTGGTCTCAAGTGACCCACCTACCTCAACCTCCCAAAGTGCTGGGATTATAGGTGTAAACCGTTGTGCCCAGCCATGAGTTACAAGTTTACCTAGTTATTATCATCTCATTTAGATACAGCTACTTTCTTTCACAACTTCATTTGAATAAATGAATTTCTTTATTTTCTAAGTGTTCAAGCCTACATTCCTTTTGGTTGGACAATGGGTAATACTATGGTTCGAATGTGTCTCCCAAAAATTAATGTGTTAGAAACTTAACCCCTTTGCCCTTGTGAGTGGATCAACGTCGCTATGATAGGAGGGGCTTGTTATAAAAGCAAGCTCTCTGGCTTACTTGCCCTTGCCCTCTCACCACATGATGCCCTCCACCATGTTATGATGTAGCGAGAAGGCCCTCATTAGATGCTGGCACCACACTCCTGAACCATGAACTAAATAAACTTCTATTCCTTATAAATCATCCAGCCTCCATAACTATAAACTAAATAAACCTCATTTTTCATAAATTACTCAGTCTGTGATGATACTCAGAGCAACAGAAAACAAACCAAGACAGGTAGGAAATGGGGGATGACCCCATCTGATTTGATTCTTTAGTTTCTTAATGACGTCAGATGCAGAGTAATAGAGGGTTCCATGCTCTGGGAATTGCAAATCCAGTCACACTCGTTACACATGGACATTTGGAAGAGCTTGTTGGTTATGATTATTTATCCCTCCTTGCAGCCCTAGTAGTCATCATCGGCAGAGACAACTTGGGAAAGGATGAAAGCCATGTGTGTGACGAAATGCAGCAAATCCCCAAAGCCAGGACCTTCTAAATAGACCTGAAGAAATCTTAATTTGCTTTAAAAGTGTTCAAAGTAGTGATATCTAGGCATACTCAGGTATACCCAGCACTAGGCACCTAGGTTTGCCTACAAATTATCTTAACTCCATCCCTGGCCACCCAGTAGAGAACGCTGCCAGATAGCAGCAAAGACTGTGGTACACACTGTCTTTACCCCTGTGTCTGAGTCTGTTCTGGCTTCCATAATAAAATACCTTAGACTGGGTGTCTTATAAACAACAAACATTTACTTCTCGTGGTTCTGCAGGCTGAGAAGTCCCATCTAAGTACCCGCAGAGTCTCAGTTTCAGTGTCTGGTGAGGCTCTTGCTTCATAGATGGTACCTTCTTGCTGCATCCTCACATGGTGGAAGAGCTAGCCATCTCTCTGGGACCTAGTGACACTAATCTGATTCAGGAGGCAGAGCCTTCATAACCAAATCATCTCCCAAAAGCCTCCTAACCACCTCTTGATAT